TTCAAGTCCACATCTTTTGGGAGATTCAGTGAGTTCTTCATTAACCCTGAGGATTTGCTGTTCTGTGATCCTGGATAGGGGGGGGTGGGGGTGGGTAAAACTCTAGCTTGGTTTTAAAGTGCTTGCTATTGTTAGGCAAGTTGCTTCTTTTCTGGAGTACCAAAGGGCTCCATCTGATCAGGCACTAGTTCCCCAGAGTGGGTTTTCTGTGCTTAGGCAGGCTCGCCACTGGATCCCGTCCATGTCTTGGCAGCCAGTGGGCCCAGTGGAATACTCAAGATTGGGAACATGGTGATACCACACTGACTTGGATTTCCACTCTGCTTTTGCACAGCTGCATACAGAAGTGTGGGTGTAGCTTATTTCTGGGCCTGGGGAACTGCTTTTCTGGCCCTACCCCCCTTTCTCTGGAAAGGGGAGCTCCCCATATTTTGGTGATTACTATGGCATTGACCCTGCTTTGGCCACACATGTTTGCATCCATCTTATGAGGCTAAACTGCCCTTACCCACTCAGAGACAGCCTCTGGCCCTTGGTGTACGGTTTGTAACATCACCAGCATTGCTATGGCAACAGACTTGTTATAAACACAGGATAATAGCTCTGATTTTGTTTTTTTTTTTCCCCATGCAGTGAAGGGAATCACCATGATCCTTAAATAATAATCACAGACTTTTTTGTGGTCTCTAGGAAGTAAACAGAATAAAGCTTTGCCCTACAAAGTAGACATTTAAAAAACTGTTATACGAATATTAGGAAACAATAAAAGGTATTGACCAACTCTTTCTTTTATGCAAACATGCTTTTATCCTTTTAGTTTGAACAATGTGGAAACCTCCTTCTTTGCTATTTTAAAAGATCATATCATGAACTTAGTCTGAAGTGGCAAAAAATATATCAGCAAAAGTTTTGAAAGATAACTCAGGTTAATTACATTGTGACCTTGCTGTAATTCCTGTCATGTTAGAAATTTTAATATGGGCTCAGCCCTTTGGGACTTCATTCAAAGACGATTGCACCTATAAAGGACATTTGGCATGGATTGTAAGAACTGTGCTATAGTGAGTCTCCGTTAAAAAAACTTGTCCTTGCCCTGCTCCCCCCAAGTTAAGTGATTGAAGTAAAGCATTCAGAATGGATTTTGAATACAAATCTTTTACAAATGCCTTATAATGGTCTTTACTGCTTTACAAGTGTAGTAGCCCTTGGCTCCCTTGACTGGACATCGGTCTTCTGCAGTGGTTGGGCAGGTTTGGGTCTCTCCACCTTGTCAACCTCTGGTCAAAGTAACCAGGGTAGACTGTG